TGTTGCTAGTAATTGTGTAAAAATGAAAAGTTACTATTTGCAATCTCATTAGCAAAAAGTTTCTATGAGTAAGTCTAAGAAGTCTCATGTTACGTGTATGCAGAAAATATTAAAACTTGATTGGCAAACATTAAAGATTAAATAAATGGAAAGAAATATTTTCCAATTACCTTTTCTTCTATAAGGTGGGAACACTTGCTCTACTAGTCATTAAGGCCTCTTAGGGTTAAGAAAATTTGATATTGGCAGAAGACTAGACAAATAGATGAATGGAACGGAGCCCAGAGCCATAAATAAATGCACACACATATGGATGCCTAATTTATGGTAAAAGAGGCAGTGCAGATGCTGTTAGGAAAAGATGACCTTTTCTATAAATAATGCTGGGAAAATTGGATATCTCTTTGGTGGGAAAAAAACCTGGATTCCTCTACACACCATACAGTACAATTAATTTCATTGGATTTTAGATCTATATTTGAAAGGTGAAACAACACTTTTAGAAGATAATGTAGGAAAGAGAATTTGGGACAAGCAAGTAGGCCTTGAATATCGTGTCAAATAGTTTGGACTTTTAATTTCCCTACATCATAGGAGTTGCTAAAGGATTTTGATCCAAGGGTTGGCCATTCAGTTTTTTTTTTTCTTTTAAAGACAACTTTTGGTATAATTTAAGTTAGATTGTAATTCTGTTTCTGGCCATGCCTGAGACTATCATCTGAAGACTTTTCAGTTACAAGACACTTAAAAATGCAGGTAAATTCCAACAAACACTTGAAATGCCAGTCTGTAATTGGAAGCTACTAAGGAAAAATTGGAGGTTAAATATGAATTTATATTTCAGGCTACTTATACTCCTCACCTCCTTTATATCTTGAATGGGAAACCTAGGTCACTAATTTTCAGTTACTCAATTTGAAAAGAAGAATCACACATCCTTCCTTCACACATACACTGGATATCTAGCGTTTTGATTCCACTTATAGATTTTGGAGACACAGCTAGAGCAGTATGTTTGGGAAGGAGAATGATTTCTTTAACATGTTGAACATATTGGAGAAGTTATTTCAGGCAGGTGTTAGCAATAAGAGTAAAGGAATAGAAATGAGAGCAGTTGGAAAACACTAGAAAGAACATTGTTACTAGAACTACAGTTTCTGTTATAATTAGACATGAAACGCTTATATTCAGAAATGTTTAAGTCATACTTTTCAAAAACTACTCTAAAATACGTAGAAAATAATTTTGAGTTGAACATAAAGTGGTAGCCATTCTAAAGAATTTGTCCAAAAGTATAACGATAATGCAAATCTAATATAAAAGAAACTAAATGTCATATGCATTTCCAGACATTTAAACCCCCGCTAGATTGCTATCTATTAAAAACAAATTATTGTATTTTTTTCTTTTAAGAAAAACAGGTTTATTGAGATACAGTTCACAGTGATGGCAGCAGCAGCCCATCTGGAGTGGCCACTGTCATCATACCTGCTGTAGTGGGGAGGTGTAGCCGGGGCTGCACATTCCACAGAGCTGGTGGAAGCTGGGGACAAATGGGAATCCCACCCCTTTTGAGTTGGTGGGATGGGAGCTCCCTGGGTGCAGCTGCAAGTTGTGGCTGTGGACCTGGGCTTCCTTGTGCTCTTGCAGGGGCCTGGGAGCAGGCAGGAGTCCTGCCCTCTGGGTGCAGCTACAGCTGCCCAAGTCATGACTGTGGAGCCTGGCATTCCTGCACTCTGGGGGTCTGGGAAGGCCTCCCTTGTCCCCGCAGGCCCAGAAGTGTCTGCTTCCACTGCCTGGCCTCTCCCCACTCCGGCGCCTGCTCTGATCTTGGAGCAAGGTTGGGGCCAAGCCTGGGCGTTGTTGCAGTCTGGATGGTTGTGTGCACTCTTGGGGTTAGTGCTGCCTCAGCCCCCTCCAGACTTTGGGTGCTGATGAGCATGGGAGGGAAACTGAGGGGGTGGCTGAGGGCAGCTTGGCAGTGGCCTGCAGGCACCCCTTGGCACGAACAGCTTGGACACCATGAATGGCAGCAGGAGGCAGACAAGGTTCCTGGGCAGAAGGGGGCGGGTCCCTGGTGAGACCCACCTTCAGGCTAGGGAGAGCCTGAAGGTTGGGGGCTGGGCTGCCAGTCCCACAGACTGGAGTGGGAAGTTGTGATGCCTTTTCTGGGCCTGCCCATGGCCACCCGTGGACCAGTTGGTGTGCACTTCTTTCCCTCTGAGTCCCAGAAAAGCCCCGGCTCAGCTAGAGCTAAATGGACATCAGGAAGACCAACTGCAGTTAGGAGCTACCCCCTCCAGGGCCACCTCTCTGCTGAGAGCTGCAGATGTCGGGATGACCAACCGCAGAGAGGAGCTACCCACTCCAGGACCTCCTCTGTGCTGAGAGCTGAACACTCAACATGACGACCTGCCTGTGGAGAGGAGCTGCCCACTCCAGGATCTCTTCTGAACTATTCTGTCACTCAATAAAGCTCCTTTTCGCCTTGCTCACCCTCCACTTGTCTGCATACCTTGTTCTTCCTGGATGCAGGACAAGAACTTGGGACCTGTCAAATGACAGGGCTGAAAAAGCTGTAATACAAACAGGGCTGAAACATGCCCCTTGCTCGCCATTTTGTGGGTGAAGAGGAGAGAAGAGCTGCAACTCTTCAGGGAGCTGAGACTTGGGAGCTCCCCGAGCCAGGGCTGTGACTTTGGGGCCCTGTGGTCCCTGGAGTCTGCAAGCTTCCAGGAACCGCCACGTTCCCCAGTGGCAGCCATAGAAGCTGCTTGCAGTGTGCCTGGTCCAGCCACAGCCTCACAGAGAGCCAGCACCTGTGCCAATACCTGGAGCTGCCTGCCCTGCTGCAGTAGCCGGCATGCCAGACTGCGCAGTGGCTGGACCTCACACTTGCTCACTCAAACACCCCTTGCTGCCCCATGCCTGGCTTGCCCCGGCAGGCATGGGATATAGGCTGGTAGTGTGAGCCAAGCGCAGTCAGGTTGAGTGGACAGAATGAGCCCAGCAGGTCTAAGCAAAACTGAGGCAGAGGTGCCACCAGCCACAGGTTTCCAGCCAGAAAAGCGACCCCCACAAGGGCTTCATAATAACAGCTGTACAGTACACTCATTTTTTTTTTTTTTTTTTCCGAGATGGAGTTTCGCTCTTGTCACCCAGTCTGGAGTACAATGGTGCGACTTCAGCTCACTGCAACCTCTGTCTCCCGGGTTCAAGTGATTCTCCTGCCTCAGCCTCCCAAGTAGCTGGATTACAGGTGCTTGTCACTGCGCCTAGCTAATTTTTGTATTTTTAGTAGAGATGGGGTTTCACCATGTTGGCCAGGCTGGTCTCGAATTCCTGACTTCAGATAATCCACCTGCCTCAGCCTCCCAAAGTGTTGGGATTATATGCGTGAGCCACCGTGCCCAGCTTAGTTCACTCATTTAAACTGCATAGTTCAATGACTTTCAGTATATTTACAAAGTTGTGTAACCATCACTACAATAAATTTTAGAACGTTTTCATCACCCAGAAACCTTAAACCCTTTAGCCATCACTCCCAACCTTCCCCTCATCCTTCCAAGCTCTAGGCAACTTCTAATATACTTTGTTTTTTATAGATTTGCCTGTTTGGGATATCTTGTATACAGGGAATCATACAATACGTGGCCTTTTGTGTCTAGCTTCTTTAGCAAAGTGATTTCAAGATTCATCCATGTTGTTTTAGCTGTTCATACTTCATTTATTTTTATTGAGGAATACTATTCCATTGTATGGATATACCACATTTATTCTACTTATTTATCAGTTGATGGCATTTGGGTTTCTTCCACTTTTTTGGCTATTATGAAAAGTGTTGTTGTGAACATTCGTGTAAAAGTTTTTTTTGTGGACATTGCTGGATCATTTGATAACTCTTATGTTTAACAGAGGAACTGCAATACTCTTTTTCAAAAGAGGAACATCATTTTACATTCCCACCAATCAGTCAGTGTATGAGTGTTCCAACTTCTCTACATCCTCATCAAAAGCTGTTAATTATCTGTCTGTCTGATTATAGTCATCCTGGTGGTTTTGAAGTGGCATCTCATTTGGTTTAATTTGCTTATGCTTAATGACTATTGATGTGGTTTTGTATATCGTCTTTGGAGAAATGTCTATACAAATTTTTTGCCTAATTATTAAAAAATATTTTTCTTATTTAGAGATGGGGTCTCGCTGTGTTTCCCAGGCTGATCTCAAACTCCTGGGCTCAAGCAATCCGCCCACCTTGGCCTCCCAAAGTGCTGGGATTATAGGCATTGCACCACTGCGCCTGGCCTTTTTGCCTACTTTAAAATTTTATTATTTGTCTTTGTATTGTTTAGTTGTTCAGTTGTAATTGTTTATTATATATTTTATCAAATGTATGATTTACAAATATTCTTAGGTTATATTTTTACTTTCTTAATAGTATCCTTTGAAGCAGAAAAGTTTTTAATTTTGATGAAGTTCATTTTTTTTTTTTTTGGTTGCCAAGGTTTAGGTGTCTACTGTATTTTCTGAATGCCTTTGAAAATAATTTTTGTAAATAACTTGATCCTGCATTAAAATATAATCATGCTGCAGTTATTTTGTTATCATTAAAGACTGATAAGCCGGGCACTGTGGCTCATGTCTGTAATCCCAGCACTTTGGGAGGCCGAGGCAGGTGGATTGCCTGAGGTCAGGAGTTCGAGACCAGCCTGACCAATATGGTGAAACCCCATCTCTACTAAAAATACAAAAATCAGCTGGGCATGGTAGAGTGCGCCTGTAGTCCCAGCTACTTGGGAGGCTGAGGCAGGAGAATCACTTGAACCCAGGAGGCAGAGGTTGCAGTGAGCCAAGATCGCACCACTGCACTCCAGCCTGGGCAACAGAGTGACACTCCATTTCAAAAAAAAAAAAAAAAAAAAAAAAGACTGATAAAAGTTATCATAAGCAGCAGTGTTTACAATTCTTTTTTAAAATTTTGCCTGAAAATTATTTTACAGCTCTATAGTATCAACCCTCCTTGCTCTTATGGATGGATTAGATAATAGGGGTGAAATTGTTGTTATTGGTGCTACAAACAGACTTGACTCTATAGATCCTGCACTCAGGAGACCTGGTCGTTTTGACAGAGAATTCCTCTTCAACCTGCCTGATCAAAAGGTAAGAGTTTTTGTTTTCAATATGTTAATATTTATATGTAATTCTACTATAAGGCATATGTTCTGAGGGTGATATTTTATGAATTTTCATTGTTCAGATTTTGTGCTTATAGGATATCTTACTTAATACTTTAAAAACCTATGTAATTATGGAGCAGTTTTTTTCTATTAACAATTATAAGAAAGTTTATGATTTTTAGATAGTAAGAGGAAAGCTCTTGATAGGTCACTGTAGATACTTACTTGTGCTTTAGTCCTCCAGGTTGTAGTAGTTGTCCTGTATGGCAGTTTATGTGTCCCTAGTTAGCCAAAGTAACTTTATTCTCGTAAAATAATGTTTTTATAGAGTATTAGTGGGTTTATGAATAAGGACCCAGTGTCCAAATTTTCATAGAAATTGCTGTATTTAATTAAAAACAACAAACGTTATTCATTATGGTATAAAGTTTTTTTTAAAAGAATGTATTAATAATACAGGGCAATGTTTATCATTGATTATGTAAATAGTATATAATATGATATACGACGTTTTTTTTTCCCCAATTCAGCTTGAAACTTTTAATGTTATTCTTGGTTTGATTAGTATAATCTGACTGGCTTTTCATTAGAAACTCAAATCTGAGAGGAAGAGATACATGCAAAGGATATATTGTATGTGAATATGTATAGCTTTATTCTTAGACCTCTATGTGAAATGCCTGGTTTATATACCTAGATGTGAAAGTCTTAGTGATTTGGACTGTATGGAAGACCATAGAGTAACAAAGGCAATGGCTTCCCTGTGTAGAGCAGTTCGTTCCTCAGTTTGACATCAGTCTCTACAATCACCAGTAGTTGACTCAGATTTGGATTGACAATCTAATTTACAAGCTTTAAATTGGCACCAGATTTATTTAGCTTTGTCAGAACAGAAAACATAGCATATACAGCATTATTTTCATTGCACAAGTGCAACCTTCAGGAATGTATGAGTGCATATTGGTGTGTTTATTTGTAGCAGATAGGGCTGAAGTAGGTACAGTCTACTTCACTGTGGGGAAGCATCAACTTTTTTTGTTTGGGACATCTAACAACAGTCCAAGCACAGCTTTTATACTCTTCAGTACATGGGGAAATGTGCTTAGTTCTGAGACACAGCACAGGAAAGCCATTTCCTTGATTTCCCAATTGTCTTCTGTCTTCTATCTTAGCTAAGTAGGCTTCAGAGTCTATATGCCAATCACAGCCCTCACAGTCCAGGTTCAGTTCACGCAAATCAAGGGTTTAACAGTAGTTTAAAAGTTTAGAACAGCACTGTCTAATATAATTTTCTGTGATGATGGAAGTGTTCTATTTTGGCATTGTTCTTTGGGCAGTATGCATTGTGGTAGGCACTAGCCACATGTAGCTATTGAACACTTAAAATGTGGCTAGTGTGACTAAATAACTGCATTTAAAATTTTGTTTAGTATTAGTTAATTTAAAATTTAAATAAAATAGCATTGTGTGGCTCATGACTTACTATATTGCACAGCATGGATCTTGAACATAGTTTTCCACATTAACTTTCTCTTTCTAACATTTCGAGCAAACAGTTTTGTGAGACTGAAATATAAGGTCGTTATTCTCAGGCCTGGGTCTGTGGAAAGGCCTATGCTGGCTGTTTACCTTTTTCCCTTAAATAGTTTTTAAGGTCCTGAGACTAGATGAGATTACCAAGTCTTCTCTCTTACAGAGCAGTCAGTAAGATAAGAGGAAAACTAAGAGAGTGGGGTGTTCTGATAGCCAAGTGAAGAAAATGTATCAATGAGGAGGGTGTGATTAACCATGTCACATGTTGCTAAGTCCATTCAGCTAAGGACAGAAAATTGGTCATTGTATTTATCATTATGTAGGTCGTCAGTGAATCTGATGAGAACAGTTTCAGTTAGTAGTGGGTGCAAAAGCTTAATTGGAGTGTGTTAGTTCAAGAGAAAATGGGAAGGAATTGGAGGGAGTGAATATAGATATGTTTTAAAAAGAGTTTTTCTGCAAAGGGAAGCAAAGAATTTAGGTGATATGATATTGAAGGAAGCAGGGGCAAGATAATGTGTTTCATTGTTTTCAAGATGGAAGAAATCTAGTAGAAAAGGAAATTTTTATGTGAAATTGAGAGATGTCAGTAGGCAAAAAGTGATAGGATTTAGCATAAAAGTGGCATGAATGACTTTAGATAAGAGCTAGCTAGTTCATCTGTGACAATAGAGAGAAGACAGAATATTGTTGGCACACATGCTGATGGGTGGACATCTTTGGTGATTAGGATGTGGGGAATCTGTGGAAGTTTTTTTCTGATTGCTTCAATTTTCTCAGTGAATTGGGAGGCATGGTCATCAGTGGAATGCGAAGATGTGCTGTGAGAAATAGTCTGCTAGGAGAAAGGCATAATGAATGACCTAGGGAAGTATTAAGGGTAGTAGTAATAAGGACCCATTTGGGTCATTAATTTAAAGTGATACCGGTCAGTGTCTCAGTCCTGTGGTTTGGCCAGTAGAATATCATGACTCTTGCTATTTGATTAAGTAAAAGATTAATAAAACTAAATCTTGTTTTCAAATTTTTATAATTTTGTTAATTATTTGCATAAAATAGTACACACCTTCCATATGCAGTAATGCTTTTTAATTTCTTTTATTTTCCTTTATCATCATTTTTATGATTGTTATAAGTAATATATATTTGTATGTGTACTTGTAGATTCTGAAAAATGAGGGGCTTGAATTTGCCTTTGATGTTTAATAGAAGTTACTTTCTATTAGAGGAAGCCCTTTGACTTACTATTTGGTATGCCGTATAGAGTAAAATACATAATGAACATTTCTTGATTTCTACATTTAAATAATTTTTTCTTCATTCCATGTCTTGTTTTTAGTGTGACAAAAGGAAGGTGACTTTGATTGGATTATATAGGGAAAGAGCATTATTAGGGACCTGAAAATAACTTGCTAACCTTTGATAATTAATTTCATTACTTTAAACCTCTTTTTAGGGAAATGAGAGGATAAGAATGGATCTCTTTTTGGGATATCTTCCAGCATAATTTTTTTTTTACATGTTCTTAATATTTTAAGGGTCTTGTAATCACCCTTAGCAGCACAGTACCTGTGCTGCTAATGAAGTTTGTATAGATTCTTAATGTCATCTTACAGAATATATATGCTGTTAGGTTGATATTTCTTTTGGACTTTTTTTTTTTTTAGTATCTGTTCAAGCAGATACTTCACGTTGGAAGAAAATAAGTGTCATATCATTGCTTTAACTTTCATAGCTGAATGCCTAACTTAGAACTTGGAATTGAAACTGTAGCGATTGATTCCAGATTTTGTCAACTTTTTGAGCAAGATTTATCTTGATGACTTTGTAGTTGTTCTGTTTTGTTGCTGGTCCCCAAATCCCTCATCAAGTCAGTAAGATGTTATCATCTTGGTTATAATTTGCTTTTTCATATCTCAAGAAGCTTAGATAGCAGTGTTGAGGGAACAAGCATATTCAGTTTTTAAAAAGTGTTGTAATTTTCTCCAAAGAAGGCAGATGTGAAAACAAAATTCTGATCTGACTGTTGGTGGTGGTTAGTATCAGCTGATTATAGATTTTTTATATGTTAGTGTTTTTTTAAGAAAACTATTTTAGGCTGGGCACGGTGGCTCACGCCTATAATCCCAGCACTTTGGGAGGCCGAGGTGGGTGGATCACTTGAGGTCAGGAGTTCAAAACCAGCCTGGCCAATATGGTGAAACTCTGTCTCACTAAACATACAAAAATTAGCCAGGTGTGGTGGCGAGTGCCTGTAATCCCAGCTGCTCAGGAGGCTGAGGCACGAGAATCACTTGAACCTTGGAGGCTGAGGTTGCAGTGAGTGAGATCACGCCACTGCACTTCAGCCTGGGCGACAGAGCGAGACTCAGTCTCAAAAACAAAAAAACTATTTTAGAAAAATGAATTTCTGTTTGTTTTGAAAGCAAGACGTTAAAATTTTGATTGTAGATTTAAGCTAGAGAATGTTGAAATCAATGTAAAATTGTTTATAACACTTTGATCTTTCAATGAATTTAATTGAAATTTATTGAAGTACCATGTATTAAATGCCAAAGCATCAACTAACTGACAAAGTCATAATATGCATGATATATATATATATTCTTTTCTCCCTTTGAGACAGGATCTCACTCTTATCACCCAGGCTGGAGTGCAGTGGCGTGATCACAGCACACTGCAGGCCTCGACCTCTCAGGCTCAAGGGACTCTCCCACCTCAGCTTCCTGAGTACCTGGGACCACAGGCGTGCACCACCATGCCCAATTAATTGAAAAACAATTTTTTTGCAGAGACAGGATGTCACTATGTTGTCCAGGCTAGTCTTGAACTCCTGGACACAAGCGATCCTCCCGCCTCAGCATCCCAAAGTGCTAAGATTGCAGGTGTGAGCCACCACAACTGGCATGCATGATATTTACTTAAACTTGAATACTTTTCAAATTAAAAGCTTTTTTCAAGTTTAAGTTACTTGTTATTTTGCTCATTGTTGATCATAATACCACAAATTCTATGAAATGTAAAGTTTGTTTAAAATTATGACTATAACTTTTATAACATGAAAGTTTTTTGTTCATATATTTTCAAATGGTAAAAGTGGTATGGTGGAAAAGTGAAATATAATTTTGAATTCTAGTCCCACATGAGTCACTTAGTTGTTATATGCTGCCAGTCAATTTTCTTCACCTATCACAACATTAAATGTCTTAGGTTGTGAAACACAGAAAAGATCTCTACTACATGTCTCCCAGATTTATTGTTGGAATCAGAGTTGATGTAGATAGATGCTAAGGTGTTTAAATTTTTTAAAAATAAAAGTTTTAATGAGATATGGTTAGTCAAAATTTGTTCCACCTAACGTATTTGAAGGATTGATAATATTTTATCTGTACTTCTTGGGCAAGATTTTATGTATCTGTGCTTTTCATCTTAGGCAAGAAAACACATCTTACAGATCCATACCAGGGACTGGAATCCAAAATTGTCAGATGCATTTTTAGGTGAACTGGCTGAAAAATGTGTTGGTGAGTGTTACTGTTTGAATTATTTGATTGTCATTGTTTATTCTGCTCAACCTCCCTTTCCCCTTATGTTTGGAGTGTGAATAAGCATAGTTATGTTTTTGATTGTGGGGTAGATTGGCTCTGCCTTTATATTTTAGAGTTATTTTAACTGTTTCACTTAAAAGTTTGAGTACTTGTAAATTAGAATTTTAACTGCCATTAGGTGTTTAGTTAACAAAGCTCAATAATAACATGCCTTTCACTGAGTGCTGGGTATCTATAATATTAATACAGGGTCTCCTTTTGAATATCATTCCCTCTTAGAAATTTTACTAAGAAGAATAGCTTAAACTTGAGAGAGAAAAGTCCATGTCAAAGCAGGACTGCAGCCTTTTACTTTTACTTTGCAGATTACACAATGGGCTCATTTTCATTCCTGTGGTCTAGAAAGAAGTTGGGTGGGAGAGGTCTTCAAAGAAAATAGTTAATGGTATTTGGTAGTATTTCCCCAAATATAAAACTTTCCAATTTAACTCTAAATTTTTCACAGAGTGGAAGATCTCTCCACAGAGTGAATGAACGCTACTGTCCTGCTAGGACGTGGTGAGAGTGTTTTATCTGCACAGATGATCACACATAGGAGATGGAATTCAGGGTTTTGACTCTAATTAGGTCTGAAATAAAAAGGCATACAATATTAGGCAGCTGAAAATACACACAGGTATTTCTCCTTCATTCTTTCCCCCTCTTTTGTCTGTTTTCCTCTCATACTCTGAAAAATATAAATTTAAAAAAAAAAAACCAATCTTCATGAACTTTTTAAGCATTGTGAAGAAATCCCCCAAATAAGTCCACTGACAATAACTTACTTGGGAAAACTTTAAAGTTACCAAAGCCAAAAAGAACAACTTAATTTAAAAAATCATTGTGATCCACCATCAAATAATTAAAACTTAAATAGAACATTAGTCCATTCAGTTAGCTACATCCAAATTATCCTCTTCATCCACAGGGACTTCCATCTCCGAAGCAGCATCCCTCAGCTTTTGAACCACAAAGACCTCGACATCTTCTGGTGAGGAGAAAATGTAAATCTCTCCAGCACTACTTCAGTTTAAGCTTTGCCTGGTATAAGAGAGCATGCGCCAAACACATTTCATGTTAATTTGGCTTGACCTTTGCAAAGCCTTGTGCTGCTTTATGGGAGAGGGTGGTATTTGGTATAAAATCCAGTCTTTTCCCTTTTTGAAAATAGACCCCTTTTATTTATGATGATATTTTACTAGAGTTCAGATCAGACTGGGAAATCTGTCGATTTTTCTGTAAATTTGTCACAGAATGATCCTTAACTGAAATAAGCAGAAGTCAAGTTGTCAAATCATTTTGGAAATTCCCTAAGAGATAGGTATTCTAAATTACTTTCTATTATCCTGTCTACCATCTGAAATATTATACACTCTAGTTTAATTCTTCATCCCAAATAATAGAATCTTAGTTTCCTTTTGCATTTCCAAAGACAATACTTCTCATTTTTCCAAGTGATTTTTTTTAACTTTTAGGCAGTTTCTTAAGTTTTTAAATTTTCATGGTATAATTTCTTACAAGACTGATAAATTTCTCTTACCTTGTTTTTCTTCCCCTCTGTGGGGTGGTAGTATGTCTGCAGACTCTGCTTATATACCATTTTCTTCCTGGACAGTGACATAAAAATCCATTATAATTAAATGACTTCTGTTTTTTGTTAAGACATTCATTCCATCTGAGAAACCGGTTCACATTAAAAAAAAAAAAAAAATTCAGATCTTCAAACGGGAGTGAAATAGTAATTTTAAATCCATTACAAACTCACTTAGTGTATGTATGCCAAACATGTTTTAACATGAATAGGTTCAGTTCATTGACATTTATGCCTAATAAAAGAGTGTGTAGTCTTGATGAACATCTGTGAAGATAGCTGACCTTTTGTTAGAGGTTATGGATTTGGTAACTTTTACCTTGAAATTCCCAAGTTCTTAGAGGTTTTTGCATGCATATTGGGTGTGATTTTTGCATAGTGAAAAACTCAATATACATTGATATCAGGAACATTTGCATAAATAGTAGGAACTTACGATTAATGAAACACTCAACTCTAATCATATTTTTCTATTCCATTTTCAATGAGAGAGCTAAAACAATGAAAGAGTCTCAATGAAGTATCTGTCTTGTGGGCCTTCATTATGTGTGATGCTGTACTTAAAACTTCATAAAATTTTGTTATGACCTTGTTTCTAGTCTAACCTCTTTAGTAGCTGTGTTTTCAGTCTTTCAGGACAATTTCTATCTTAATAGCAGTATTCAGGAATGCTCTTTATTTGATATCTAAATGTGTTCACAGAGTATTAGAATTGTAATGGTAGATTTAGTATGGTTATGAAAGGGATGTTTATACTTTTAAAAATATTAACTTTTAACTCCTAAAAGGCTGTAGTATATTTTCAGTATTACTAGAATGATCATATTATTTATTGTCTAAACAAGGACTCTTTGAGAGTGAAAAGGTGTGCTATTAATTATGGCAGAACAAGAGGCTTAACCAGCGCATGTGGTTACCCTAAGTGTAACCCATTTAGCCATGGTTATGATGCACTTTTAAAGTTTTAGAAGGAAGTATGTTAAATCAGTAGTTCTCAATTTTGTGTGTATCAGAATCACTTCTAAAGCTTTCTTGAAATGCACATATCATCAAGCCCCCAGAGATTCTGATTCACTAGGTTTATTGTGGGGCTTGGGAATCCGTTTTTTTTGTTTAAGTTTCAGTGTTTATTCAGGTGGATAATCAAGGTGAGAACCACAGATATAAACTGGTAATTCTTACTTATAAGCTAATGTAAAAAAATTTCCTCCTTTATAAGTCTGTTGGTTATAATAATTAATGTGAAAATCTGCCTCATTAAATGGGGTCTATTGATCATTTCTTTGTCTGGAATAAATGAGGGAAAGATGAACAATAATACATTGTTGTTATATATGTAATTAACATGTTATGGCAAACATAAATGTTATGGGTAACATTTACTATGTAAAATACCTTCTAGTGGCTAATTACTTGTTTTGCCTTAATTGTTTCTGAGTTTTAATTTTTTTAAACTTAGGCTTTTGCACTTAAAATAGGACCATATAGTATGTTCATTAACTGTGTATATCCTTTTAAAGAAGAAATAGAAACGTAATTGTTTATATTGTTTGAAGATGGTAGTATATTCCTTATTTCCTCTGAAATGGAAGACAGAATTCACATTCTATAATCAGATCCTTGGATTATTTTATTAACTGTTTATAACTTTGAGCTAGTGTTCTATACATTATTGAATTAATGAAACAGGTATATATGCAAAAGGAAAAGGTAATTTTTTTCCAGGTTTATTCTTTGAGAAATAGAAAATAAAATGAGACACTAGTGGTAAATTTGGTTATCCAGAGAATTATTTGTGAGACAGATTGCTGTCGTGGAACAATGTTAGTGCTTAATCTGCTTATAGTCTTCTGAATTAAGTTCTTCTAGGTCATATTAAGTTTTTCCCTAACTTTTAATAAGTTTTCCTTTGTAATCACCATTTTTAGTTGAGTATTTAAATGTTCTGTAAGGTCATTGTGAGGTGTAAAAAGATAAATAGTCCAGATGTGATGGCTCATGCCTATAACACCAGCACTTTGGGAGGGTGAGGCAGGAGGATTGCTTGAGGCCAGGAGTTCGAGACCAGCCTGGGCAAAGTGAGACCCCTATCTCTACAAAAAATAAAAATAAAAAAATTAGCCTGATGTGATGGTACACACTGTAGTCTCAGCTACTCAGCAGGCTGAGGCAGAAGGATTTCTTGAGCTCAGGAACTCAAGGCTGCAGTGAGCCATGATCATCCACTGCACTTCAGCCTGGGCAACAGAGCGATATGCTGTCTCCCAAAAATAAAATAAAAATAAACCTGGTATTGTTTGTTGAGGAGCTTAGTTAGGGTGTAATATTCTATAACTATTCGAATGGTTCCCCCTACTGGCATAACTGATAATTGTGGCCAAATGCAAGTTTAATTGCTAACAGGAAAAACAGTGTGGCTAGTTTGAGCTTTTCTTCCTTTTTGTGATGAGGATGCAACAGAGCATGTGTTTTTGTATGTATTTGTTACTCAGATGAATGAAATGACTTAAAAACACTGGGGCTTGATCTGTTGTTTGATTGTATCATCCATTAAACATGGGTAATAATACCCCATGTTGGTATAACGCTTAGAATTAGATTATCAGTCATTTTAAACTAAACAAAGAAAATTAATGTGGAAAATCAATGGAAATATTTTTTAATGTTCTTATTTACTTTAATATATTTGGAACTATCAGATGAATTACAATTTTAAATGATAATTATGGGAGTAACTGAATGTTAATAGTTGGTTGCACTCAGAGTTGGTAGTAGAATAGCTTTGTTTTTGAAGTTTCTTTTTATATACTATTTTATACGTGTTTGGAAGTTAATAATATTAGAAAAAATCATTTATAAGTAAGTATAATGTCATGAGGACTAACCTAATGATTGTGAATATTGATGAAGGACTGAAATGAAACTATTATTCTTTTAAAACTTTTTTTCTAAAGAAAGTTGTATGTTGTAGGCCAGCTGTGGTGGCTCATGCCTGTAATCCCAGCATTTCAGGGTGCCGAGGCGGGTGGATCACTTGAGCCCAGGAGTTTGAGACCAGCCTAGGCAATATAGTGAGACCTCATCTCTACAAAATAAATAAAAGAAAATAAAAAAATTACACAAGTGTGGTGGCACATGCCTGTAGTCCCAGCTACTCAGAAGGCTGAAGTGGGAGGACCGCTTGAGGGTGGGAGGTAGAGGCTGCAGTGAGCCGGATTGCACCACTGCACTCCAGCCTGGGTGGGCAACAGAGTGAGACCCTGTCTCTTATCTATTTATTTTTTTGAGACACTGTCTCTTAAAAAAAAAAAAAGTTGTACATTGTAATCAGTTAATCACATAATACATGGCTTTTGTTTTAAAGCTTATATCGAGGACATACTTAAGATACATAGCTTGTTTTAATATTGTTAGCTTATGTTTTTGTTAATTAAAAATATTCAAAACATTTTTAATCTTAATGTAAGCATTCAGCCCTTTATTCAGCAGTTTTGTTTGGTGATTTTAAATGGCTAGTTTTCATTTTGCTGGTAAAATTGCACATAGTTATTGATTTAGTATTGATGATGATGTTAGCTAAAGTTGGTGCATGGAATAATGAATGTACCTTTGCTGTCCTTCTCCTTTTGTGCATTAGGCTACTGTGGAGCTGATATCAAGGCCCTGTGCACTGAAGCCGCCCTGATTGCGCTGCGGAGGCGTTATCCCCAGATCTATGCTAGCAGTCATAAACTGCAGCTGGATGTTTCCTCAATAGTGCTTAGTGCTCAAGACTTTTACCATGCAATGCAGAATATTGTGCCTGCTTCGCAACGTGCTGTGATGTCTTCAGGGCATGCACTATCTCCCATCATAAGGCCACTGCTGGAAAGAAGCTTCAACAACATCCTAGCGGTCTTGCAAAAAGTGTTTCCTCATGCTGAAAATAGCCAGAGTGACAAAAAAGAAGGTACTCTAAACTACTTTTTCATATTATTAAGATGAAACAAATACAGGAATAAATAAATATAGTTTCCTCACAAGATTATTTATGTGTCACTTTTGTAATATATCTGTTTATTCAGTACTGTATATTCCAGGCCTGGCATATTACCTGGCATATGGTAGTTGCCTGGTGAATGTTTGTAAGACAAATGAGTGAATGTTCACTTTTGGGACATTCTGATCATCTTAATGTAGTGCTATTACTATCTTTAGAAAGTTGACTATAATAATAGGTTAACCTTTAAAGCCCCAAATTGTCACCTATTAATCCTTTTTTATTTTATTTTTTTTTATTTGAGATGGAGTTTTGTGCTTGTTGCCCAGGCTGGAGTGTAATGGTGCTGTCTTGGATCACTGCAACCTCCGCCTTCCGGGTACAAGCGATTCTCCTGCCTCAGCCTCCTGAGTAGCTGGGATTTCAGGTGCCTGCCACCATGCCCGGCTAATTTTTAAAATATTTTTAATAGAGACAGGGTTTCACCATGTTGGCCAGGCTGGTTTCCAACTCCTGACCTCAGATGATACACCGGCCTCGAACTCCCAAAGTGCTGGGATTACAGGCGTGAGCCACCGTGCCCGGCTTATTAATCCTCTTAACAGGCTTGCAGGTAAGCACTCTGATTATATAGAGCGGGGGAGTGGGAGATACAGGCTGGTAATTTATTTTTTTTGAGACAGTGTCTCTGTCACCTAGGTTGGAATGCAGTGGCCTGATCTCAGCTCACTGCAGCATCTGCCTCCCAGGTTTAAGCAATTCTCCTGCCTCAGCCCCCCAAGTAGCTGGGATAGCAAGTGTGTGCCACCACGCCCAGCTAATTTTTGTATTTGTTTGTTTGTTTAATAGATATGGGGTTTCACCATATTGGTCAGGCTGGTCTCGAACTTCTGACCTCAGGTGATCCACCCACCTTGGCCTCCCAAAGTGCTGGGATTGGAGACTTGAGTCACCGTGCCCAGCCTGGTAATTTAGTTAATATAAGGTCATTGAATAAGTTCTGGGGCCTGCTCCAACCCAGGGAGCCTGATGACAGCCCTTGCTTTTACCTATGTTGCTATACTGCTTCTTTGGATTAAACTAATTATTTTGTTGTTATTGGTAGGGCATTCTGCAGTGTGCAGTGCTCATAGGAGTGTAAGGTATTGATAAGGGAGTAAATGAGAACCCCGTTGTAGAGGGTCTTGAGTTTTATCAAGCCTCTAGATAGTACTTTGCACGTGAGATAAAAACAGAACACTACTTTGAAAAACATCACTCATGGTTGGGTGCGGTGAGTCACGCCTGTGTAATCCCAGCATTTTGGGAGGCCAAGGCAGGCGGATCACCTGAGGTTAGGAGTTCGAGACCAGCCTGGCCAACATGGTGAAACCCTGTCTCTTTAAAAAACAAATAAATAAATAAATAAATAAATAAATAAATCAAATTAAAAACATCACTCATTTACAGGAAAAAAATTTTAAAATTAGATTAACATTCTAATCAGAGTATAAAGCTCATAAACTTTGAAGGGAAAGTAATGTCTTTTGATTATCTTAATTTCTCCAGTTCCTAGCACTTTGTCTGGAGTGCAGTCCGCACCAAATAGAAAATTATTCAGAGAATTACACTAACATTAAAAAAAATAGTAAAAATTATGAATGTTCAATGAATTTTTCTGTCATAAATATATTTTTCAGAAACTTTAATTGTTTAGTGACAGAGTCACATAAGATATCACATGGAATACCTGATTTCTTAAATTTGGCAGAGGGGAATGAATATTTTACTGAATATCTGTGAGCCAGGTACCATACCATGATTTGTGTATTTTTTATTTCTGAATTTTATAACTGGAAATGTATTTCATATGTATTTTATGTACCAAAACTTCCCAAAAAACTTACGTCACCTTTAGAAAATCATAAAAACCTTTTCTTTCATCATAGCTTTTTATCTCCATTTGTGAATTACCATTTTATAGCATTATTATCTATGTTTTCTTATAGCTTTTTTGTGTGTAAATGTAAAGTATGCTTTAGTTTCAGTTGGTAGAACTAGTTGACATGACCAGTGCAGAAGAGCAACCAAATTTTATTTGATTATCAGTAATTGGTTTTTAGCTATTTAGTCATATTATTTATTCTGGCTTGTTTTGACCTTTAATGTTTTTCTTAGATAAATATCATTTCTTTGTGTATGAAATTATCACTCAAAAGATACTCAGTTATTTCCCAGATTAAAATATGACTTGTACTAAATATTTAGCTTTTTTTTTGTTTTTTTTGAGACAGAGTCTTCGCTCTGTCACCCAGGCTGGAGTGCAGTGGTACTATCTCAGCTCACTGCAAGCTCTGCCTCCTGGGTTCACGCCATTCTTCTGTCTCAGCCTCCCTAGTAGCTGGGACTATAGGCGCCTGCCACCATGCCCGGCTAATTTTTTTTGTATTTTTAGTAGAGATGGGGTTTCACTGTGTTAGCCAGGATGGTCTCGATTAAATATTTAGCTTTTAAAAGCCACATGAGATCTCTATCTGCCAGCATAATTTAGTATCTAATTTTAGAATGCATCTGCATATTTTTTGTTTTGAAAGGGTATGATTTCTCTTAATCTTAATTCTCTCTCATATCTCGTACACATGTAGCATTACTTTTTATTGAATGAATTGTCACTTCTGATTAGGCATGTTTGAAGTATAGCTGTTGGTAGCCCAGGTGAGGCTTTAAGTGTTGCATTCCCAGTAGAGATTTTAGTTCTAGTTAGTTCCCTGAGTGGTAACTGAAGGCCCATAGAGAGAATAATGCTGTATGAATGAGTATATTTTTAAGATTAGCTTTGACGGAATTTCTGACTCCATCTTAACTAGACTAAGTCTTCCTTGAAAAGGTGTATCCTCTTTAAAAAATAAGGGTCAGTTTGTTCCTTGTTGCTTTTATAAGAACTGGCCTTGATTCAGCTAACCTACTAATTAAACCAAATATGAAATGGACTGGTTTTGGTCATAATTAACTCAGAGATTTTTAGTTAAATAGGGTGGGATTTTATGAGAGTGCCACTTCTTTTCCAGACTTGTTTTTTTTTTTAAGCCAGTCAGTGAGTTCTTCCAAATTATCTCTCATAATACTTAAGTAAATAGTCTGTAAAGGTGAAAATGTTTTATTAATTTTGTTTATAGGTTATTTTAAAAGCTGCAGTTTGTCAATTTGCCTGTATTATTTGATAGATCACTTATTAATGTCATTTGATTTTTTAACCCAATTTTTCTTAGCTTTGGTAAGGCACTAATATTAAATGACTTTATGAGCCTCATAACATTGTGATTTTTTTAAACAGATATAGAAACTTTAATTTTAGAGGATAGTGAAGATGAAAATGCTTTATCAATTTTTGAGACCCATTGTCACTCAGGATCACCAAAGAAACAGTCATCAGCTGCTGCTATACATAAACCCTACCTTCATTTTACAATGTGAGTGATTTATATCAAATTTCTTTGTATTTAGAGCGATTTTTGATACTTTATGATTAGAATTATAGTATATTTTTACTTATGGTTGTAACTGTGAGGATATTGTTTTTCTGTTGTTTGGACACAATTCTGGAAAACTTTTACTATGTATTCTTATTCATGTGGTAATAGCTTGTTGGTTAAGTACTTAGGTGTTTTTTTCCTCCAACTAGAAGAATCTTTCCTGCTACTTTTCTTTTTTTTTTTCTTTTTTTTTTTTTTTGAGACAAGAGTCTCACTCTGTCGCCTAGCGTAGAGTGCAGTGGCACGATCTCAGCTCGCTGCAACCTCTGCCTCCTGAGTTTAAGCTATTCTTGTGCCTCAGCCTCCTCTGTAGCTGGGATTACAGGTGTGCGCTACCATGCCCAGCTAATTTTTGTATTTTTAGTAGAGATGGGGTTTCACTATGTTGTCCAGGCTGGTCTCAAACCTCGGGTGCTCTGCCTGCTTCGGCCTCCTGAAGTGCTGGGATTATAGGCATACGCCACTGCACTCAGCCAAGTTTACTTTTCTTAAAAGTGATGGTGTGAATTTTTTTTCCCCCATGGAGGCAGAGGAAGGCTTACCCTTAGAAAGTCAAGTCATGAGCCCCAACTTTATTGCTTTTTATTTAATGGGCAGAAATGAAATATTAGCTATGATCTGGAGTACTTTAATTTGTAATAAACTTTAGATGATCATTTAGGTCTCTAAGGCTACTAAAAGAGATTTTGATTTAGAAATTGTTCAGTAATTAACTTTTTGATTTTCTAGAAACATTATACTTTTATAATTTGGATTTCATGGTTTTTCAATTTACATTTATCCTTTTATTATCTGTGTTAAAGCAACTTTTGCTGTGCGCTATGCTAGGTAAACACTTTTAGTGCAAATCTGATTTTAAATTAAGAGGCCAAGTAGTGTTCAAACACTAACAGCATCTTTACTTGCATTTACATAATTAGCCCATAGTTGAAGAACCATAAAGCTTCCGTTAGGTAGATCTAATAGCACTTCTATTAGAAGAGGCTGGATTGTGTGTACTTTTAATATTTTGAACAAATTTAAGTCTCCAACTTGAAGTTTTCCTGTGTAGATTTTGGTGAAATGTTGATTATTTGCATTGATAACCCTTTCTTGTTTTTCGTATTTTAAAATGAGGCTAAATTACTTTCATCTTCTCTTTTTTTCTTCATATGTTCTTTAATAGCAAACTCTTTGTAAGTTTTTTTCTTCTTCTCCAGATCCTTTCTTTTATGCTCTCGGGGAAGTTTTTTTATAGGCTATTCCACCATTTTACAAATTTGTTTTATCGATAGTTATGGGAAAGCCATTTTTTTTTTTTTTTGCCTTTCACCTGGCTAGCCTGTCTCTCTCTCTCTCTCTCTCTCTCTCTCTCTCTCTCTCCCCCCCTCCCTCTCCCTCCCTCTCTCCTTCCCTCCCTCATTCTCTCTCCTTCCCTCCCTCATTCTCTCTCCTTCCTTCTCTCTCCCTCTCCCTCTCTTCTTCCCTCCCTCCTTCTCTATCCCTCCCTCTCTCTCTCTGTGTGTGTGTGTATGTGTGTTTGACAGTTATAGTTATTTGAATTTGTATTATGTAGTAGCAGAAACAAAGAAACTATCAAAAGACGTGTTTAATTTTATAAGATAATTGTTGTCAATAAAGGAATACAGAAATAGATTTTGATATTAGAAAGTATCATGTCCAGTGTTAAGTTTTAACTTTTTATTGAGGACATTTCCTGCCACTGATTTAATGTGAGACATTGGTATGGCTCATTTTGTTTTAGCTTTTCTGAAAGAATTGGTTTAATTTTAGCTTCCTTTACGTAAGCTTTTCGAGTTCATTGATTTGACTTTCATTAAGTAATGAGACAACTATATTCTAGAATAAGCATTTTTTAGATGTTTTAGTAATATTTATTCACTTATTTCTTTGTTCACCTACCCATTTGTCCAATTTTTCTTTTTTTACCCTATGCCAGGCATTGTATGAGATACTGAAAACCTAAGCATGAATAAGATATAACATAGTTCTTTCTTTGGAGAAGGTCTCACTATTGGGGGTGACAAACATTTCAATACTGTGAAAGTGCTATGAAAGCAGAACTAATTCTGCTGAAAGTCTGGGAAGTTCTCACAGGAGAAAGTGATATTTGCTGTCCTTTTCATTATGAAGGGTTAGGAGTTTGCATCTGAGTGCTTTTTACAAATTAGATACACGTTTGGTATGTAAAGATCTGTGCTTCATATTCAGTAATATATATAGGCCTCTCAACAATCATACTGCATTTGTGGTATCTTCATTTTATAGATGAGGAAACTGAAGCACACAGAAGTTAAATAAGTTGCCCATGATCATGTTGCTAGCAGGTGGCAGAGCCAGACTCTGTGCTGTTTGTTTCCTAAGATCATATTTTTCCAAATTATTTCTGAGCTTAGTAAGTAGCTAGGGAATTGCATTGCTTCTTTAGGTAAGTTGAGCAATATATTTCACACTCTCCAAGAAGCATACACTGTAGAATTAAGGCCTTTAAGATGGGCAACATGTGGTCTTTTTTGTTTGGTTGGTTTAGTTTTCTGTTTGAGCAAGATGTATTAGTATTACAGATGAATGCAGAAAAAAAACTGCTTGGCCAGAAGAAAATGTAACTTTAGTGCTGGTTTTTAGTCACACTAGCCTGGGTATTGCTGGTGGATTTCTGGAAATAGTCTCCTGAAACAGTGTTGAAACCTTTTCTTTTTTTTTACATTTAATATAAAGGAGAAGTCAAGATAGTTAAGGTTTACCAATCTGGTAGAGAAGCCTTGTGATGGAAAATAAATTTTCTTTCTTACTTTATATTACCATAAGGGTGATTAGAAACAGAGCTTTCTGAGGTTTTTCAAATGAAAATAGCTTTGTTTTTTCTGATTAGAAAGATGATATACACTGTAGAAAATTCAAGTAATAAAGAAGAGCATAAAGAAGAAAGTAAAAATTAAAGCCCCAGCACCTGCAGGTAATATTTGTTAAAGTTTTGGTGACCACACTTCCATGTTCTCTCTATGCATGTATAATGTATAGACCCATACATTATCTGGATTATATCCTTCTCTAAGTTGTTAATATAACTTACTTTTTCACTATGTTGGGAATATTATTTCATATCAGCATATGTTTGATACCACTATTTTAAGATAGCTGCATATTATCTTACACTTTGGATATTCCACAATTTATAGACCCTTATTGGTAAAATTTGAAGGTTTCAAGCTTCTTTTATAAACAATAGACTTGTTTCTAAGTATACATCTTTACACCACTATCTGATTCAAAGTGTAAGATAAATTTTTAAGAACTGCAATTGCTGTGTCAGAGCGTATACATTTAACATGTTGACACAGATTGTTAAATTGCGTTCCAGAAGGCTTGTACTAGTTTACATTTCTCATACTAATGTATGAGAGTGGTATTTTTCTTATACCATTGTCAGTTCTGAGCACTGTCTTTTAAAATCTTTACAAACCAGATAGATGAATATAGTATCTTTTTGTTTGGTTGAATTGTTCATTTGTTCTTTCATATATTCATTCACTCATTCAAATGTTTTGTGAAAGTGCCCATCACGTTCCAGACATTGTCTTGGGTACTTGGGATAGGGCAGTGAACAAAATAGGGTAAGATCCTGGCCCTCATTGAACTTATATTTTTAAATAGAGGAGATGGACAGTAAAACAATAAATGTAATAGCTTGCTAGATAGATAAAATGTTAGAAGATAAGTACTATGGGAAAAAATGCAGAAGATAGTAAGAGGTTGGGGAGTCCCTAGGAGTGGAGTGAGTTACTGAATACTTTTGGGCATACATTTTGGCATCTTTAGATCTATCACATATAATTTCAGAAAAGTTGTGCTTTTCTTCTACTGGTTATGAGGATATCAATTTTCCCATCCTCTCATTGATAATGGGTGTTGAAATTAATTTTTGGTTTATTCATCTAACAGATAAAAGATGTCTATCATTATTTTCATTTCTGTTTTCTCAATTTTTTAATCTCTGTGTTGATGACTACCGTTTCGTTCTCAAGCCTAGATTGCTTTTGATCTTCAGACCCTGACCAGTGACCCATCTCCCCTTGGTTGTACCATGGATCTTTTCATACATAGCTGGACTATATCGCTCCTTCTCTCCCTGTGACTCCTATGAGTCACCATTCATTCAGTTGTCTCAGCTAGAATTTGACATCATTCCCAACTTCTTTCCTTTTATTTCTTTCTTTGTCTAGTCAATGACCAAGTCTTTTTTATTTTTCTTACTAAATAAGTCTCATTGCAGGCTATTCCTTCTTCCTCTAACACTATTCTTGTTGAACTGTCATTCACATCTCATGCTTGGGTTACTATAGCAGATGCCTGATTATCTTTCCTCTCATTTGCCTTCTTTCAAAACCCTTTCCCATACTGACATGCTGAGATAGAGTTATCTGCCCTAAACTTGTATATGATTATCTTGCTGCTCTAAAGTATCTTAGTGCTTCCCCATTGTCTTCAGTACACATTCCAAACTTTTATTTTTATTTTTTTGAGACGGAGTCTTGCTCTGTTGCCCAGGGTGGAGTGCAGTGGCGCGATCTTGGCTCACTGCAAGCTGTGTCTCCCGGGTTCACACCATTCTCCTGCCTCAGCCTCCCGAGTAGCTGGTACTACAGGTGTCTGCTACCACGCCTGGCTAATTTTTTTTGTATTTTTAGTAGAGACGGGGTTTCACCATGTTGGCCAGGATGGTCTCGATCTCTTGACCTCGTGATCTGCCCGCCTTGGCCTCCCAAAGTGTTGGGATTACAGGCGTAAGCCACCATGCCCGGCCACATTCCAAACTTTTAACATGGCTTACAAAACCCTTGTAGCCCTTCGTAGTCTAACTTACCTTCCTTTTTCTCTCCCCACCCTAGTACCTTTACCGCACCCTCCACAACTTGTCCCCAGTACTTCAAAATAAACAAACAAACAAACAAAACCAAAACTGGCTATATGAACTGTATCAGTTACCCCAAAGAGCCATGTTCTTTTTAACCTTTGGTCCTTTGCGCATCCTGTTTTGCAGTCTTGGAATTCATCTCTTGTACCTCCAGTCTGTTGGGTTTCTGTCTTGGTAACAGTTTTCCAGGAATGCCTTCTATGAGTCTCTAATTGGTATCTTCCATAGCACTGTGTACTTAAACAGTACCACTTACTAATCACATTGAATTATGGTAATTTGTGTATTAACTTTTTTACTAAATACCACTCAATTATATGCTCTATGACAACACTGGTATTGTTTGATACTTAGGGCTAAGGCATTCAGCATGGGAGACATTCTATAGTTATATAATTAAATAAACATTTAAAAAAGTTTCCTGTTTCTATTTTCTTTTTGAATTGTCTGTTTTCGTCCTTTGCCCATGGAGGTTTTTTAAAAAAACTATGCATATAAACTCTTTATACATTAAGAACCATTCCTGTTTATGACAAATTCTTTTTATTAAATTTTCTTTTTATGCTTTCTCTATCAATTTTTTTTTTTTCAGATGGGATCTCTGTGTTGCCCAGGCGTCTTGAACTCCTGAGCTCAAGTCATCCTCCCAACTCAGCCTCCCAAGTAGCTGGGATTACAGGCACGTGCTACCGTGCCCTGCTGTATGACAAATTCTTTATGCCATTTGGTTGTTTACTGTTTGGTTCAGATTATAATTTTTGAGCTACAGACGTTTTTAGATTATTATGAATTAAAAATATGTGAATCTTTTAATTTAAATTTTGTGTTAGAATTCATTTTGCTTATGCTATGAAATGACCTGACTCCTCCGTTTTTAAACGTTTATTTTATCATCCATTTCTGTTCTTTTTATTTTATTTTTCGAGATAAGGTCTCACTCTGTCACCCTGGCTGGGGTGCAGTTGCACCATCATGGCTCACCGCAGCCTTGACTTCCTGGACACATGTGATCCTCCCACCTCAGCCTCCTGGTGGCTGGGACTACAGGTGCACACCACCAAGCCTGGCTGATTTTTTTGTTTTTAAATTTTTTGTAGAGATGGGGTTTTGCCATGTTGCCCAGGCTCGTCTCAGAACACCTGGGCTCAAATGATCTGCCTACCTGAATCTCCCAAGTGCTGGGATTACAGGTGTGAGCCACTGTGTTGCCCTCATTTGTTTTTTATGATTCTTTTCTTATATGAAATTATTTCATATAAGAAAATACAAATTCTTATAAATTTTATAAATTTATATTACTATAAATGTATATATTATATATTATAATTCATATTATCTTATAATATAGTATAAAATAATAAAATATTTTATATGAATTATACTATGAATCATAACTATTTTATTCATATAAAGTATTATACATTTATATGCATATACATTATTTCATTTTATATGAAATTCCTTCATATAATGATTACGATTAATCATTTCCTAGGCTGCGTTTTATGTTTAATTCTGTTTCTTTGGTGTATTCTACATTCTATTAATTGTTATTCTATAATGTGTTTCAGTATAAAGTAGGACACATCTTAACATAATGAGTTCAGAACCTGGGCTTTGCTGTCAAATGGGCTTGAATGACAATTTGAACTCTTCTATCTGGTTATACAACTTTATAGCTAACCTCCACGCACCCTGGTTTCTTATCTGTTTAATAAAATGAAACTGTGTTTCACAGAATTGTTAAGAAAATTGAACAAGAAATCTCTGTGAAGTGCTTGTTACTAAAACATGTTTGAATGCATTAAAATTGGAAGCTTTTTTTTTGAGACTGAGTCTCGCTCTGTCGCAGTGGCGCGATCTCGGCTCACTGCAACCTCTGCCTCCCAGGTTCAAACGATTCTCCTGCCTCAGCCTTCTGAGTAGCTGGGACTACAGGCACGTGCCACCATGCTCAGCTAATTTTTTGTATTTTTAGTAGAGACAGGGTTTCACTGTATTAGCCAAGATGGCCTCAATCTCCTGACCTCGTGATCTACCAGCCTCAGCCGCCCAAAGTGCTGGGATTACAGGCGTGAACCACCTCGCCCAGGTGGTAGCATGTTTTTAAAAAGTTTTCTCGATGTTCTTACTTGATTATTCTTTCAGTTAAAGTTGTGAATAAGTTGAAACTCCCCTCCTCCCAAAAATTCTTTTGGGATTTCAACTTGAAAATCCTATGCCTATAAAATGAAAAAGTAAATGGATTAGGAAGAATTGAGGTCTTTATATAGTTAGTCTTTGTGTTCAGGCTCAGTTTTACTCTTTTCTTGCTAAGACTATAATTTGATAATGCTTGTTTTACCTTTTAATTTTTTTATTTTTTTGCAGTGAATAGGATCTCCTTTCCTTTTTTACATTGGTTATTGATGGTGTTTAGGAAATCTATTGATTTTTCTATTTCTTCTGTCTTGTTACTTTGCTTGTAGATTCTGACAGTTTTTGGTTGATTTCTTGGATTTGCTACTACATAATCATATGCTTTAGAGGTGTCAATTTTTTCCTTTATTGCTTTCTATTCGTTCCATTTTAGATTTGCTTTATTCTTATTGTATTGCCTTAGAATGTCTAGGACTACCCACAGTGAGAGTAAACTTTGTTTCATTTGTTATTTTAATGGTGCTGTAGAATCTCGAAATGACAAGTTCAAGTTTGGTTTAATATATTTTCCTTCTCTGGTATGGGGCTTTAGATGTCATCTGTCAGGGTAGGAACAGTTAGTTTTTGTTGTTACAGAAATAATATGTGTTGGAAGAAGTTTATATATATTTGTTATTTTAAAAATTGTGATCGTTTTAGTTTGTTCCTGCTGCTATAACAAAATACCTTAAACAGAGTAATTTATAAACAACCTAAATTTATTTATTTATTTTTATTATACTTTAAGTTTTGGGATACATGTGCAGAATGTGCAGGTTTGTTACGTAGGTATACACCTACCAAGGTGGTTCGCAGCACCCATCAACCCATTATCTGCATTAGGTATTTCTCCTGATGCTATCTATCCCTCCCCTGGTCTCCCACCCCCAGACAGGCCCCGGTGTGTGATGTTCCCCTCCCTGTGTCCATGTGTTCTCATTGTTCAGCTCCCACTTATGAGTGAGAACATAACAACATAAATTTATACACAGTTATGGAGGCTGAAAGTCTAAGATCAAGGCTCTGGCAGATTTGGTGTCTGGTGAGGGCTTGGTTTCTGCCTCTAAGATGATACCTTGAGCACTGCTTCCTCTGGAGGTGACCAGTAATGTCTTCACATGGCAGAAGGGATTGAAGGGACTAGCTAGCTAGTTTTATTATCAAGCCCTTTGATAATATAACTAATCCATTCATGAGGGCTGACCGCTCATGACTTAATCACCTCCTAAAGGCCCCGCCTATTAATTGAGTCCTACATTTGGAATAATCTTCAGATCTACCTCTTTGTCAAAAAGTGAGATTCCTAACATTTAACCTTGAATAATTAATAACCAAATGATACTGGAGTTTAATGCATCTTCAAGTTAATATATGTGGTATGATAGCAGGAATACCAAGGTTATTTTATTTTAAAGTGGATTTATTTCATTATTTGTTTGTTTGTTTAGGTAGAGTTTTGCTCTTGTTGCCCAGGCTGGAGTGCAGTGGTGCAATCTCAACACACTGCAACCTCCGCCTCCCAGGTTCAAGTGATTCTCCTGCCTCAGCCTCCCAAGTAGCTGGGATTACAGATGCCTCCCACCACAACCAGCTAATTTTTGTATTTTTAGTAGAGACAGGGTTTTACCATGTTGGCCAGGCTGGTCTTGAACTCCTGACCTCAGGTGATCTGCCAGCCTCGGCCTCCCAAAGCACTAGGATTACAGGCGTGAGCTGCCACACCGGGCCCGTAAAGTGGATTTTATACCTTTATATCTTGGTTATTAATATGGTCAGAGGTACCAACATTTTAAAACCATAATTAATGAAAAAATAAATCACTGTACTAAAATAATATAGGAAAGTTCTGTTAATTTTGAGTTAAATTGTTTTAATGTAAAAATTTTGCCTGATATTTCATATTTATCTTCAGAATGTATGATTTTGAAATAATTGTGTCTTACATGTATTACAGGTCACCGTATCATCAGCCAACCTCATACAGGCCACGCTTACTGCTATCTGGAGAACGGGGCTCAGGTCAAACTTCTCACCTTGCTCCAGCACTTTTGCACACTCTAGAAAGATTCTCTGTGCATAGACTAGATCTCCCAGCACTTTATTCAGTTAGTGCCAAAACACCTGAGGAATCATGTGCACAGGTAGGTTTGTATCACATCAGAGCACTTCTGACTTTCTTATTGCTTATATTTTGGTAATATTTCTAGTGTGTAGTGTTTACAGATAAGATTTTTCAGAGTATGGTATGAATATTAACTTTTTGTTGGTTATTCATTAGCATTCTAGTATTAGTGTAAAGGATCCTTTTGATGCATACAGTTTTTTAGGTGAGCTCATTGTCTTTCTCATGATCTTCCTTACTGAAATTTTAATACCCTGTTTCATTATGCATTGTATGTAGAAAGGGAGTTTATTTTGCCTTTTTCTGACCCTCTGTTCAAAGCTGTGGTCTCACAGCAGTTTCAGACTTTTGTCTTTTCTTAGAGCCTTATCACAGAAAGGGAAATGATATCCAGTTTGAGATATCAGAATTTAATATTCATATTAGAATAGTGATAGCCGTTCAAAAATTATAGATATTTGTGTTGATAGTTGTGTGTTTGATATTTGACTTTCAATTATTTTATATTTACTGGTTTGTGAAGCAAAGTTCTAGTGGGGCTGTTTATATTTCTTGAGGTTGTTATATATAACCATGGATATATTATATCATATTGAAACTAGGGATGAGGGTAATACATTTTTTGAGCTAAGGAACCATATCTAAGCCATTTCTGTAACTCTGACAAGGTGTCCAGCTGATAGTGGTCATTAAATGTTTGAATAATAGTGTTTCAAATAAATAAATTAGAGAAAGGAATGCCACTTTGTAGTTTGCTACTTAGCCTACTTTTAGAGTTAGATAACTGGAGTAGTAACACTTAAAACATTTCACACAATTTTGTTGTTTTTTTCCCAGTTACGTTTTCCAAATAATACATATACTATAATTGGCCATTTCCTACATTGTAGCAAGAAATATGCATTTTTTAAACAATTCATAGTAGTATTGATTTAGTTTTTCTTTTACTCACAGTCTCTGGATATGAACACCCTACCAGCACTTTATCACTTTTAAAGCCCTATTTAAAGGTTTCTTTCCAAAACCCCTGAATTAAATGCTATCCTCCAATATTTTGCTCCCAGTTTGACACATTTAACTCATCCTGGATGTGTTTTCCAATAATGTTGATTTATATATTTACTCGTATTTTTCTTTTTAGAGAGACAAAATTACTGCAGGTTGTATGCAAGTAAGAGAATTACTCAGTACCATTTAAAATAAACCCAAATGATTTAGTAGAAAAATATAAATCAACAAAATTGACCCCAGAGAGGAGAGAATCTAAACAAATCACTGTGGAAGAAGAAATTCAGCACGTATCTTAAAGCCATGAAACATAGATGGTTTCACAGGTGAATTATTTTAATCTTAAAGGATAAGATCATTTTAATGCTAGTCAAACTGTTCCAAGGCATAGGAATAGGAGGAAAGCTATGAAATTGGCAAAACCAACAATATCACATCTTTCAGGGAAATACAAAATAAAACTGTAGGCCAGCCTCATTTAAGCAATGATCACAAAGAAACTATTACAAATGAAATCTAGTAGCGCAACAAAAGAGTAATACAACATTACTAAAGCATGTAAGATTAATTCAGTTAGACATTGAGAGATACAAGTATTGGAAAGGATATATTGAATTTGTAAGCATTTGCCTATGATATGATTAATTATATGGAAAACTTACAGTGTCAACTAAAGAATGATGAAAGACAATAAAGGAATTCCGTAAGGTGGACACTTTCAAAGTTAATGTTTTAAAATGATACTTTTCTCTTATAAATACTATAATAAGTTAGAAATATAATAGAAGAAGAGGTCCCAATTAAAATAGCAACTAAGTTTACCTAGGAATTAGCAGAAACAGTATGAAGGGACTATGAGAAGAAAACTAAAAGTTGCTGAGGGGGGACAGTTGACTATATGAAAGACATAGCTTGCTTGTTTGTTTGCCAACCCAAAGGCCAGAGAAGCCTCCCGCTAGGAATGCTCTCTGCCTTTCATAGTATCATCAGTCTTCTTCTTGGCGGGGGGAGGAAGCCATCTTTATTAAGGAGGCCAGAGGTGGGCTAGTCTCTTGTATTCTTCCCATATCCCTAAAGTAAATATATGTTTGTTTGTTTGTTTGTTTTTTGAGACGGAGTCACACTCTGTTGCCCAGGCTGGAGTGCAGTGGCGCCATTTCAGCTCACTGCAACCTCCGCCTCCAGGGTTCAAGCGATTCTCCTGCCTAAGCCCCCCGAGTAGCTCAGACTACAGGCACGTGCCACCATGCCCAGCTAATTTTTTGTATTTTTAGTAGAGACGGTGTTTCACCATGTTAGCCAGGATGGCCTCGATCTGCTGACCTCGTGATCCGCCCTCCTTGGCCTCCCAAAGACGTAAATATAGCTGTAGAGATTTGGCATTTGGGTCTCAAACCAAGCTTGTAGACTTCAAAATTTGGTTGTCTCAAACTAAAATCTCTACCTTGAGAACTCAGAAGCTTATTTGGTAAACCAAAAGCCAAGAATTTTGTTTGTTATCTTCAGTCTTCTGATCGACTCTTTTGAGGCAGGAGGGTTGGAATGTTCTACATAGATAAATTTCAAATGTATTTGGGCAGTTAAAAACCTGTTGAGCATTCAACTCCATATGTGAATGTACTTCTAGTGTGTGTATGTGTGTGCGTGTGTGTACACACTACTATTAATCTTTATATTAAGAAATAGCAAAGTTTAGATGGTTTCTCTGCTTTAGATATCAATTAAATGTCAATATTCTCATCACCTCTTACTCTCAGCTCCCATGATCTGATCATTGCTGCAGATCTCTGCATTGGGAGTGAACCACTATATAGGAACAAGAAAGTCTGGGGATTTGGGATGGGCATATCTCAGTGAATACTTCACAGTGCCATCTTCGTAGAGAGAGCCATGCCTGGCTAGAATACTTATGGTGTTTTCATACTAATGATAATGTGTTAATATGTGGAGCTTTAGAGGAAGAAGCACACCTTGTTTGTAATTACTGTGTTAAACTTATTTAATTCAGAGTGTAGACTCAAGTCAAATTATGCAGACTAAAATCTCAGTTGTGGTTGTGACCTTGGGCAAGTAGCTTAACACTCTGAGCCTTAATTTTCTCATCTGTGAAACAGAGATGACACCATGAGGTTATCAAATACGCTTGACATATAGTCCTCAATGAAAGTTAGTTATATTCATGCTTATTACTACTACCGTTGCTGCCACTGCTACTGCTTACAACTAAATGGTAAGGCTTTAAATTCAAAGACTGTGAGGTTTTTTTCCTAAATTAATGTATAAATTAAGTTCCAATTATAATCTCCTCAAGACTTAGGGAGAGAAGTTAAAAAAAAGAGTTCTGTGTTTCTTCTAGAAAATAAGTATGAGACTAGCAAGGAGAATTCTAGAGGAAAAAGTGTCATTGGGGGCCCTACCAAAATTTTAAGGGTGTAATAGAGTTACAGTAATAAAGAATGTGTGCCTGTGCAAGAATAGACAAAAGTATTAGAAGAGACAATTCATGCTTAGACTTTTGTAGAAGTAGAATTTAATGGTGATGACCACAATGGTGATGACATTTCATATCAGTAGATGGAAGAAATGGATTATTTACCAAATGGTCTTGGAAAACTAGCAAGTTCCTCCAATAGGGGAAAAAGCAAAACAAAATAAAACTAGGATTTCCTACCTTTTTCTATAGCCCAAAATGAACTCGACTTGGTCAGTGGAACTATAAAAGTACTGGAAAAATTCACAAGGTCAGTGTATTTATTATCTTATGTGTGAAAGTAATTTCTAAGCAATGCACAAAAGCTACAAAACATAAAGATATGAAGGAATTTGATTATATAAAATTTTAAATTACACATGACAGAAAGCATTCCTTAAATTAATAGATAAAGTCTGGGAAAAAGTATATTTGTAGCAGGTATGTTGAGAACAGGTTTCCTAAATATGGACAAATGCCTTAAAATCAGTAAGAAGAAAGAATAGCAATCTAATATAAAAATTGGCAAAGTAGAAACATGATATTTATGGGGGAAAAGAAAAAGCAACCAGTAACAAATGTGAAAAGATTCTAAGCTTCACTTAAGTGAAAATAAAGTATCAGATTTGTGTGTGTGTTTTTTTAAAAGCTTGATAATGCCCCGTTGGAGATGTGGAATGCTCATACTTACTTAGTGGAAATGTAAATTTATTTGATGTTTTTGGAGTGTAATCTGGCACCGTCTTTTAAAATTTCAAGTACCACATTGGTGTAGTGTGAGAAAAGAAAATAACATTTCAAGTACATATACCCTTTGACCCAGAAATTCTATGTTTAGGAATTTTTCCTAAAGATACGTTAGCTACAAGTATTCAATGCTAAATGAACAAGTATATTTATCACGGTGTCATGTGTAATTGCCACACAAAACACAAAGGCAAACAAACTGAATATCCCTTCACGTGGGACCAGCTAAAATTAGTTATGGTGTATCTTGACATACAGAGGAATACTGTCTAGCCGTTAACACGAATGATGTAGATTTACATGGGCTGATTCGGAAAAATGAAGATGACATTAGTGAAAAAAGCAAGTATCCCCCAAAAATGTTAATATGGTTGCTTTGACTTGGGGAGAAGGACTCTGAAAGATTGGAAAATGTGTGAACTTTGCCTTTTTAGTTTATGCTATACTGTTTGGAAAATTCTCTTTTTTGAAGTTTTTATTTGACTATATCAAGCAAACTAAAGATGAGAAAAATCACTTTAAAAGAGAAATATTTTCTTTTCTTTCTTTTTTTTTTTTCTTTCTTTTTTTTTGGGACAGGGTTTTGCTCTTGTTGTCTGGGCTGGAGTACAATGGCGTGATCTCGGCTCACTGCAACCTCCACCTTCCAGGTTCAAGCGATTCTCCTGCCTAAGCCTCCCTAGTAGGTGGGATTATAGGCACCCGCCACCATGCCCAGCTAATTTTTGTATTTTTAGTACAGACGGGGTTTCACCATGTTGGTCAGGCTAGTTTCGAACTCCTGACCTCAGGTG